GCTGCGGGGCGGGTGGCTCAGCCCGCTGCCCCTTCCGGCACCCTCTGTGACTAATGTCCCTCTTGACGGTCTCGTTACTTATTGATGGCCTAACCCTGCTCGTTAATTCCATAGCCCTTGTTAAAAATGAAAAGCAGCCGTTTGGACTTGTACAAACCGGAGCTTCAGGATGGATGTGAGGTCGGCTGGGACTAGGCGGGCGGCGCCTACTCATTGGCCTCGAGGCCTGGTCCAGCCACGCCCATCGAGAGGAGAGAGAGGGCGGGCGGCGCCCCCTCATTGGGCGCGGTGCCGGGGGTCACGCCTACCGCAGGAAGGGCGGGCCCGAGGCCGATTCTCAGTCTCCGCGTGTGTGTCTGCGGTTTGATGCAGAGTGGGGCGTGCGCGCGCGCGTGCAGCTACGAGCGTGCGAGTCCTTAGGTTTGTGTCTCAGGGAGTAAAAGGAGATGCGTGGGACCCAGACACAGGCAAACGAGGGGCGTGCGTGCGGCATGGGCTCCCACGCGCCTGTGCCTGGCTGCTTGCGCACCGGGGCCGCGTGGGGAGGGCCTGCAGGCCCGGGTCCCGCCCCCAGGGGCCCCAGGACCTCACCAGTTTGCGCTGACACCAATGACAGAGGCCGCAGAGGACAACCGTGACGCTAAGGCTGACGGTGATGATGGCGGACACCAGCAGAACATCGCGGGTGGGTGCCCCTGGGAAGGAGGATACACAGGTCAGACCTGGGGGCCAGGGCCGCCGCTCCCTCCTCGTAGGCTCCAGAAGAGCCCCAGCTCCTGGTCCAGAGCCCTGCGTGTCCCCCAAGCTCCGCCTTGCGGGGTGAGCTCGGGAGCCCCTCCTCCTCCGTGCCTCAGTTTCCCGGTCTGTAAAATAGGGGACTTGGGCTTTGTTTGGATTTTCTCTCGGTCTCTATGTGCCATTCTCCAAACCTGACACCACCATGCGAGAGGCCACAGGTGCCCTTCAGCTGGGCCAGGCTTCACCCCTTCCCAAGCGCCCCACACACTAAGCCCCGAGGCCGAGCTCCAGGGGGCGGCCCCTGAGCCGAGGCTCCAGCCGCAGGGTAATGGCAGGGGCCCCTGGCCACCATGAGCACACCTTCCTGCTTTCCCACCCCCGGCCCTTGGGCTCCCCTCTTGCCCTCCTGCCCACTGGCTGCAGCATCCTCCAGCTACTTCTTTTCGGGGCACTCAGGAGAGGGATCCTTGACGCCCCTCAAGACAGCCAAAAATTCCCAGCAAGGAAAGCCCACTTTTCCACCCAAACCCCACCTCCTCCCAGCTTTGTGGACAGCACTGGAGCTCTCTGTTCTGCTCTGTAAAGGCAGGCTCCCCACCACCACACAGGTTCACAGGCAGTAAACATGAGCCACAGTGACAAAGCCAACACCTTGGCCATGAACTACCGTGCGGGATCAGCGAAGAGGGGCGGATAGCACATGCGCAGCCAAGGAGATGCGATTTATTTACAGTGGAGCCTGCGTGGGCCGTCGGGTGCCAGTGGGTGGGGTGATTAAGACCTGAGAGGTTGGCATCCTGGTTCCTGAGCTTTTAGGTCCGCCTTCCCTCCCTCTCCAGGTCTCTCTTGTGGTCTCATGGAGGAGGAGGGTCAGGGGTGACCCCGGCTCTTTGGGCCTCGGGTCCCCTGCTACCCTTACTGCAGCACCCCAGGAAGCCCATGCTGACCTGTTCCCTCCAGAACAGCTTCCCTAGCCCCAGCCACCCACCCGCCCGGCCTCTTGCAGCCAGGCAGGCCTTGTGCCCAGCTCCCACCCTGACCCAGGCGCCCTGCAGGGACCGGTCCTGCACAGGGGCACGGGCAGGCCACAGAAATGCTGGGCCGTCATCTGTGTGGAGAGGACCCACTTCGCCGCCAGGCGACCCAGTGCTCCACATTCAGGAGCAGCTTCAGCCAAGATCGGCGATGGCTTGTCCTTTTTTTTACAGGCAGGGAAACTGAGGCACTGAGCGATCAGATTCCACGTTGACAGTCAATCCCTTGGCAAGTCAAACAGCCAGGGTTCAGGGCAGGAGGGCTCAGAGTCCCTGCCCTCTGTCCCCACACCATTCCTACCATGAGTTGCACACTGTTTCCAAAATGTGCTCCCTGGAACCCCTCAGGCTTCCCAGACCCTCTTTGGGGCTCTGGGGGTGGGTGCTGGGCTTCAACCACAGGAGCCTCGCTCCCTGTTTCCCACCTTGGACTCACATAGGGCGGTCCATTTGAAGGAGAGATGTGCTGCTAAGGAAAGCTGAATGCCACTGTCTGTAATAGGTCTCCAGGGTCCCTGCTGTGTGATGCCAGGAAGCTGACTCCTCCCCCACATGGTCCTTCAGCCCCCGCTGCCCCTCCAACATCCCCTGAAGGTGGGGAGTGAGTTCCTGACATTGCAAGTGGCCTCGATGTGAATGGCAGTGACAGGTGTCCTTGGCCGTTCATCCTCCAGTGATGTCCCGTCCAGGGACAGCACGCGAACACCTGCCAGCCAGAACCAGCTGTTCTTGGCTCCAGCTGGAAGGGCACCGTGCAGGGGTGATAGTGCCAAGACAGCTCTGGCAGGGACAGGCACTGTGCCCACAGGGTGGGCCTCCCTGGTCTCCCCACCAGCCAAGCCTGCCCTCAAGATGGAGCTGTGGGAGCAGGCGGCCTCCCTGCCGCGTGAGGGGCCTCCAAACCCCTGCCAACGCCCTCTGTCCCCTTCGAGTCTTCTCCGGGCAAAGTCGCCCAGCCCTGTTTCGGCCTGCTCAGATGACACACAGGTCTCATATTAGTACCAGGGAAGAAAATATCGCAGTCCGAGTCAGCCCTTGACAGGGCTGGGTTCCACCACCTACCCTTGGGCAGAGGAAACAGCCCAGGCCCCGAATGAGACGCAGACAAGGGCAGACGGAGGGCATTGGAGGCCCAGAGGAGAGCACAGCAGCAGTGGGCAGCACTGTCCTGGGAGTGAGGTGTGGGCTCAGGCATGCTGCCACCCTTCTGCCAGGCCTGCTGTAGGCACCCGGCCGACTAGAGCCTGGATTCATGATCCAACCGAGTCCCAGGGCACAGCCCGCACTGTGGCCTGCACTGCCCCCAGCACTCCCCTGGGTAAAGCCACAGCCTGTGAGAAGCCCCAGCGGGCAGGGCTCGGTTCCTCCTCCCCACTGTGCCAGGCACCAGGACAGCCTGGCATGCAGCAGGTGCTGTATAGGTGCTCACTGCAGGAACAGACGCGGAAGAATCCAGGCCTCTGAGAGAGGGCTACCACTCATTAAGGACCTACTGTGCACCACACACAGGGCCCGTGGACACAGCTGTATCTGCCGTGCCGTGTTGGAGTCCTCTGCGACAAGCCTGACAAGTCTGACAGTCACTCGGTAAATGTTTGTTGGATGTGCAGGCTTGCATATGTTATCTCATTTGTCACCCAAACAAGATGGAAGACAGGAGTGGGAAAGGCATCAATGAAAAGCCTCAGAGGCTCCCTCTCACACACACACACACACACACACACAGGCACGCACGTGCACGCGTACGCAGACACGACCCCCTTCTTTCCCTGCCCAGCTTTGCCAGACACACTCAACTTCCCGAGGTTCAGATGACCCCGCACCCCACCGCACAGCCCTCCCTCCCTGCCCAGCAGGGCTCATGTCTGCTGTCTCCGCATTCCCAGCCCATGGCCAGACCCATCTCTGAGGGTGCAGGATTATATGTGGGGCTCTGGGCTCTGCTGCCTGGGCTGATTCTGCCACAACCTGTCCCCTAATCTGTGCAGGCCTTGGTTTCCCCCTGTGCACGTGGGGACTAAGCATCGCATAGTTCCCACAGCAAGGCCTAAAGGAATTAGCACTTCTGATGTGCTCCGCACAGCACCTGGCATGGGATGAGCAGGCCACAAATGCCAGCTAGTCTCCAGGCCCTACACCACACGCTCTGTACCTGAATCTGGGGCACAGAGCCATTGCTCGGTGAGCACTGAGTGAATGCTGAACTGGGCACTTTCCAGATTCCCTCCAGGACAGCATCCCAGCCCCAGGGCCCCACTTGACTTCTGAGAATCAGTGATACTAGCTGGGGCACGAAAGGAGCAGCTCTAGGCCTGGGGCTGTGTGGGCAACAGCTAGAAGCCACTGGGCCTTGGTGTGAGATGCAGGCGCGCCAGCTCCCTCACTAGGGCTCTGCCCCGCTCCCTCTCCTGCTCATCTCCTCAGCAAGCCGTGATTTATGGATGAACAAAATCAAACAGGGCCACTGGCTGTGGGGCCCCCAGGGGAACTGCTGCAGAGGGAATGGACGTCTGAGGGCTGGCGTGCCAGCTGCCCAGCGGGGATAGGAGGGTGAGGAGCACAGCAGACACAGGCCACAGACCCTGTAGCTCACACACGTATGCCAGCCACAGGCACTCACGCTGGCACGGGCATGGTGCGCTCACACACACTCACGTGCACCGCGGCCACGGCTGTGGCCGATGCTCTGTCCCTCCCCTGTGCTGAGGTCTGGCTGCTCTCGCGCTTCCTCTGCCCAGGATTCTCTCCTCCAGAATCTGCTTTCACTGTCCAGCACTGTCTTTGCCTCTGAGGTAAAGCAAGGCATGTGCAGCAGGTGCTGCCGGTTCAAGCCCTGGCTCTGACCCTGGGCACTCAGGAGCCACAGCAGGGCCCACACAGGGCTAGGCAGAGCAAGTCCTGGCCTTGCCGGCCAAAGCAGCTGACGAGCACTGGAGACATGACGTGCGGCAGGCACCACGCCAGAAGTCCACACGCACCCTCTCCAGGACTGGGGACATTCCCACCCCGACATCACAGGGGGAACAGGCCCACAGTGCTGAAGCACTTGTTTCTGTCCCTTCCCACCATGACACGAGAAGCCTCCCTTGGAGCCAGATGCCGTGACACTGCCAGAACACGGTCTCCCTAGGCCCAGCTGTGCCAGCCTTCCCCCTCTGTGGACAGACCGACTCTGTCCCCCACAGGAGGCCTGGTGAGGGCCACTCCCTCCACCCTGACCGCCTTTCATTACCCCATCTCCAAGGCACCTGGCCAGGTGCGATCCTTCCTCTCACAGTCCTCTGCCTCCACACAAGCTGTGGCAATTCACCGTTCGGGGTTACAGTGAGCTCTGCCCTGTCCTTCCCAGGCTGGGAGATCCGGGTGGGCAGAGACCCCAGACCCAAATCTCTGCAGCCCAAGGTAGACGGGGAGGCTAGATGAGTGCTTGCTAAACAAATGCACGGAAAGACTCAGGCCTCAGGAAGCCCACTTCTTCCAGGAAGCCTCCCCTGGTGGTGGCACTCAGGCAGACTTCCTTCTCCAGGCCTGAATAAGCTGGGCCTATATCCAGCCCGTTTGCTTGAGCACTGAGCTATCCCCCAGCCTGTAGCCTGTATCCCAGCCGTGGTGCACCCTGGGAACCTGCATACAGGCTTTCCCTAGAACTCGCTTGAGTAATACCCAGGCTCCACATGCCTGGCCCTTCCAGCCACCCCCATGTCCCCTCTGCTGGGGCTCCTGTGGGCCCAGCCCAGTGTCTTTAGCTGCGGTAACTAATACACCCAGCGCTGAATGACATACACAGGCCTCAGCAGCCCTGTGAGAACAGATCTTTTCCTCCCATCACAGGATGAAGGTGACGGAAAGGGTTCCACACTTTAACAGGTACATGCAGCGGAAGCGAGGTACGGAGGCCAGTGAGACCCACACCCTCAGCTTGGCCTCTTATTCACCTAAGAGAGAAGAGCTACACCTAGAAACAGGGCACACCAAGGACAGAGGAACAGGAGGAAGGGGGACACAGGAAGAAGAGTGACCCCAAATGCTGGGGACCCCGAGAGCCCACGACACACACGTGTGCTGGGCTCCTTCTCCTCAGTGGGCCCAAGCAGTGGCACCATCCAGATAGTGGCTCAGGCCCCAAGGGTCCCAGAGTAAGTGGGGGGCTGGAGCAGCAGGACTGCGAGGAGAGCAAGGCCAGGAGGCACCCAGGGCCCTGTCCCTGCTGCTGCTGGGGAGAGAGCCAGGTGCTGTTGGGGCTGCATCTGCCCTCCAGAGCCAAGCCGCCTCCTCCCACCTGCTTCTGTACCACAGCACCGCCCTGCCCCCGGGATGACGTGCGTGCGAGGTGGAGAAAGGAGAGCCAGAGTCGCAGGTTTCCACAGGAAGCACCCGCCACGCGCGAGGAGCAGATGGAAGGGGAGGAAGGTGGGAGGGCATTTACCAGCCCCATGGCGATTTGGGCAGGGACAGGGGACATATTTGGCGCCTAGACTTCCTCCCTTCCTCCTCAACCCAACACACAAAAGGAAGCCAGCACGAGAAGGGGTGCAGAGGAAGGCACAGAAAGCCCAGGGCTAACCCCAGAGCTGTTGCTCATCTCCACACTCTGAAATCCCCTTCCCCA